GAAGAGGCTGATTTGATCTTTAGAATTTTTTTTGAAGAACATTCCAATCATTCACTAGTACAAAAAGTACTTGCACATGTCTATGGCTCATGTAAATGACTTTTAGAAATCTCGCGACCTACCTTGGAGAGGGGGGGGGGAGGGTGTCCTTACCTCCCTTAGCTCGTTCCACTTTATAACACCTCTTGGTTATATAATCACTGTTAGTCTAGAACATTTCAGTGCTTCCTTATACTATGCTTGAAATACGTACGACCGCGTCAGTGCCTGTTCAAAAATTCTCTCCGAGAACTTATGTGCAAAGGTATCTCCAATTGATGCCGAAACCAGCTATGGTGGCTTTCACCTGGGGATTCGCACTTTCGACTGCAGCTGCTATTCGCAAAAAGGTGATCTTATTGTCTCTACTTACTGTGGTAACCTATAATGGTTATTTGCAATCAACTGTTTTGCTTCTAGGATGACGTGAAAAATCATCTATATGCCAGTGCAGCCGTGGGAGCGGTCATATCGGCTATGAGTAAGGGTCACTTAGTTCATAAGTTGTTCTGTGGGCCTAGCAGAAGTTGAGGCTACCACTCTGTTACGACTTTACAGGAAACAACTTTGCGTCGGGAATCAGTATGGGATTGTTGACACTGGTTCTTGGGACTTTCTGGCAATATGCACGTGTGTCGGAGGATGGCATGATGGGAATGGTCGTCCAGCCAACTAGCGCTGGAATCTGGGGAGGTCCACTCATATGGAGAGCGTTCCAGTGGGGAGATAAGGACGTTCCTCAGGAGCGTTATTAGCGTGACCGCTCACGATTTTTAGTATAGTGAACTTAGCAGAAGAAAGTGAGCAGATGTAGCCTAACTTGAAAACTTTAAGATTTTTTGTAGTGTCGTTTGCCAATGAAGCTGTCCCACAAGTTTTCTTTGTTCGCTATTCATCACATAAACAATTTCGACGGTAAGTCCTGAAATGAGCGCTCTTTCTAGATTCACGTCAGTCACCCCCCGCTCAGCTCAAACCCGACGCTAGAACCCCGTACCGCGTTACGGGTCAGATTTGACATGCCATCATCTACAATCCCGCAGCCATTTATGGAATAATAATCGTGGCAGTCGTCATCGCTTCAGTCTCGCTCAGAAATTTCGTTATTTTTCCGTCTTTATTCATTACGGTTTGTATCGGTGGCTTGAATTCGCAAAAGTCTGCGATATCTCATCAGACTTCTCTTGTTATGTCTGCTTTGATTAGTTTCATTCGTCTATATCATACTTATATATATTTGGCTTAACTACTTTTTGTATTTTCGCCTGGAAAATATAGAAAGAGCAATGGAATCACAAAGAATGGCACACATAATGTGTAAGGTGGGACGTGTGCAATAAGCCTTTTAGTCCGGGATACATAGATTGCCCCTATCGGTTCATTGTTTTTTTTGCAGTTTTCGCTTAGAAAGTTCTTTATGTTTGTCCAAAAAGGATAGAAGGAGCAATGGAATCTAAAGCAAATTTGGCCTACATAATCTACACTCAGATAATCGCCGGGGGCAGGCGGTCCGCAAACT